GTCTTTCTTAGGGTTCAGTCCCCAAGAGGCTTCTGTTAGAGTTAGTTTGGCCTTATCAATGCTGTCCACGCAGAGCACAGATCACCAGGAGCTAGAGCATCGCCTTGAGTATAGAGGCCAGGCCCAATGTGGCTGCACCTCCCACTCCTTGGCAGTTAAGGACACCTACAGAAGGCACTGGATGTCCAGCAAGAACCCTGTGGGAGCTTAGGGGGTCACCTGAATCTCCCTAATGGGAGAAGGCAATGCTGGCCTCCAGCACTATGGAAGCAGGAGCAGGTGCGGAAAGCACCTTCACCAAAGTCCTGGCCTGCAATTAGTGTGTGCACCTGTGGCCAACTCCCATTCTTCCCTGGGACTCAGTTTCCACATCTGTAAAATGGGACAGATGCAGCAGCTGCTAATTTCAAAGGGCTCTGACATTCTGTGGTTCTATAGGTCTGAGAAGTCAAAAGTTTAGCTGTGTCCATGACCTCAGGCTTGAGAGGACTCTGGGAGTCAGGGGCCCTGACAAGACCAGAAAGGGCGCTGTGCTGGTACCATGAGGCAGGCAATGCTTACAGCTGCCTCTGCCTGTTGTAACTGGGGAGTTTCGCCAGGTGACCTCATGGGGCCTTCCAACGGTGTTACCCCCCTTCTCTTCCAACCGCATGCACATCTCCCTGGGAGGGACTGGGAGGAGGGCGCTGCTGGGCCAGAAGCCCACATTCCTGGGCCCCAGGTGGGGGTGAGCTGCTCCAAGCTGCAGGCATTTTCCACATTCTTCCCCAAGGTCAGGTGCCTTCACTGCACTGGCTCTTAATGTCACTGCCAGCCATGGTCCACACTGAAAGGGAGGTGGGAGGAGGGAGGGTAGACGTCATTCTCAGCACATCCTGAGGCCGCAAAGCAAACAGTCCAAGAAGAGAGCTAAGATCAGCTTCAACTCCAGAGGCATCTCTACAGAAAGGATGAACAGGCCTGTGTCAGCCTCATTGAGACAACGTGATATCTAGTAAATCCCCGTCTCCTACAACTGAGAGTTTGGGTTTTTCCTCTGATAGTCCATGATGCTTCTTTGTTTGTGTTGGAGCCTCTACCCTCTGTAAAAAGGGGGTGAGTTGCCTCCACTCTGGACCTGCCTCCCTCTCCTGCCAGGGGTTCACAGGGTGGCCTCCTCTGTGGGGGACCATCATCCATAGACTGCAGGGCCCAGAGGCAGGCTCCTCCCAGGGCATCTGTGCTGCTGCCCTGGCCCCACACGGAGGGTTTAGAGGGCTCAGCCAGGCCCACATGCCCTGCAGTCTCAACCTGCCCAGGGTGGGGGCAGCTTAGAAGTTACCTCTTCCTGGACATGATGCTCTGCCATAGCAGCAGCAGCACCTGGGCAGGTTGCTGGCCAGGAGCTGGCACATTTCCTGGGCCCGTGCAGAGCTGGCACTCCCTCCCAGCCGTGTGGACACTGGAGCTGCAGCAGGTGCAGCATGAGCAAACACCGGATTCCTCAGTAAAGCACGGGCAGAGGGAGGTGATTTCACCCTGCCATCCAGGCTATTCTGAGCCAATTCCAGGGTGGGGAGAGACAGAGGGGAGGAGAAGAGACCTGGGGCCACAGAGTGGGAGAAGAGAGGAGCTACCACTGGGGCACTGCAAGGATCCTCACGGCAGGCTTAACTTCCCCAGCAGTGGGAAACTCCAGACTCCAAGATACTTAGGGCATGGGCATTGGAGCCGGCAGACTTGCTCTCTCAGCGCTGCCCCTCTCCCTAGACAAGGTTCCAACTGTGCTCACACCAGTCACCTCATCGGCCAGTAGGACAGCAAATGACATGTGCCTCATAGGTTTAGGGGGCAAGGGAGAGGACCTTCTGTAGGACTCGAAGGACATTCTGCAGGACTTGAGCCTGGTGCCTGAAACCCAACAAGGGACTGACCCGGGGCAATCATGACTGCTCCTGCTTCCTGACCCCAGCCTCTTCAAGTGCTGAGGAACCTTCACAGAAGGATGCCTAAGGTGGATCTTGCAGAACTGCACAGGCTGAGGGTCACTGAAGGAGTCTCGGCCTCAGATACCTTCCCTGGGAGCCGAGAGCCTTTCCCCTCGGCCTCAGACACAAGGTGTCCCAGTCCCACGGGATCAGCGCCAGTGTGACAGAGGACTGATGAGGCCTGCCTGGCTGCCCGCACGCTGGTCCTGGAGCAGGTCAGCACGCGGTGTCCTCCTCCAGATCACGGGCCCCAGTGTGGGCGTGGCAACCAGCATCAAGAGGCCTGGGTTTAGGCCCCTGAGGCTCAGCCTCTTGCTGGCTGTGAGGTCCTGGGGCTCAGTTTCCTCATCTGAAACATGATAATGATGCCCGTGCTACCCACATGGCCACCCATTCCTAAGGCTCAGAGGAGATCTCAGATATGGGTGCTTGCTCCGCCCCACACCCAGATCTCTCCCTAGGGGAGATACCTATCAGGATGCTGCTGGACTGTCTGGGGCCCCCGGGAGGGTTCCGACCTGCTCTTGGCCTGAAGGGAGGTAGCCAGCTCCAGAAGGAGATGGAAGGAGCAAGCCTGGCCCTGCCAGCACGCTGGGGCAGTGGTGGGGAGGGAGGGAAGGCCGGGACCTGCCTCAGCACATCCAGACCTGCCAGCAGGGCCCGAGCCGACCAGAAGGGCCGTCCAGGTTGGTGTCTCTCACACTCGGGCCCTCCCAGGAGACCTCTCCCTCCCCACCAGCCAATCCCTGTCTTTAGTCCCCTACCTTCCCAGGGCCAACTAACTGTCCAGTTGAGGTATCCTGGGCCCAGCAGTGCTGGGCAGGCCACCTCTGCCATGCCCTGCCTCCAGGCAGCCACCCACCAGTTGGCTCTACTTCCAAGTGCACCCAGAGAAGATCCCACATGCTCTGCTGCCTGCCAGCCTCCCACCTGGAGGTTCTCTTGTTTTACTTTGGTTGTTCTTGCAGTTTCAGCTCACTGTGGGTAAGACCAAAGTACACTCTTTAGAGAGAGCTCAGTCCCTAGCTGGGGTGAGGGCTCTCTTCTCTGGTCTACTGTCGGAAAGCTGAGTTCTCTGTGGGTGCCCACCTCTAGGTAAGAAACCCCCCACTTTCACCTGGAGCTGGATCCCCTTGTTCTCTTTCTAGTTGAGGTCAGCCCTAAGCCCCCACAGTGAGAGTGGAGGAGAGGAGGAGAGAATTTCCCATGAAACTGGGCATTAAATGAACTGGGCATGCCAGAGACAAGCCACCCAGACAGACCTGGCATGTGCCTCTGACTGCTCCCCTTCCCCAACCTTCTCAGCCCAGTGGGGCCGGGCCAAGGGTGGGAGACCTGAGAGATGGACACAACGAGGTGGGGCCCCAGTTCTTGTCCTCTGTTTCCTCCTCTGCTGGGTTGGAGCTCTCCTCACAGTTGGATCCTTGAGTCCAGGTGTGTGACCCCCAAACCACCCAGCATTAAGTTTCAGTGAATGCAAGAAACACAGGTTGTAGCACTTGCTTTGTGCCAAAACTGGGGTCACAAAGGAAAGCAAGACACAGTCCATTCTTTTACGGAGCTCACTGGGCTGTGGGCACACACACACACACACACACACACACACACACACACCCCTCTGATACAGACATGGGCAGAGATGAACGCTGCGGCAGAAGCTGGGGTGGGAGGTCCAGGAAGGGAGAAGCTCATTCTGATGGGGAGTTTTGGGGAGGTTTCTCAGAGCACTGGGGGACGGCGAAGAGGCAAGGAAGGAGAGTGTCCCCTTGTAGGGGATGGTATTCGTCGGGGCCTGGCTTTGTAGGTGGCACCGAATGCTGTGAGGGGGTACACAGCCATTTCAGGGGAAGGGGCCTCCAAGTCTACTCCAGCAAGAAGCAGGGGGAATGAGGGCATTTTCAGAGAGGGAAGAAGACCCTCACCCCAGAACTCCTGGGCCTTGGGGTCTTCAGGGGGCCTGTTCGTGCTTGGAAGCAGCAGGGAAGCTGAGGGGAGCTTCGGGGAGAGGAGGGAAGGGGGAGCATCGGCCGACACTCAGGTGTGCTGTGTGACACCACTGGGCAGGCCGGGCACCCTCTCTGGGCTGCGATGTCCCCTTCTGCACACAAATGGAGAATTCAGGATGGAGAGATCGACGAGGCCAGTGAGTCTCCGGAAAGATCCAGGAAGGTGACTCTGCCTGCAGCTCCCAGTGCTGTAGTGGGGAGCCATGGCTCGGATGTGGTCTGTGAGCAAGAACACGTCTGGCAGAAAAGTGGGGGCAACAGTGAGAGGGGTACCACTGCCAGACATGGCAGGGGGGTGAGGGAGGGCAGCACAGGTGACTCCAGGAGTGTGAGTGGGGGAGGCTGGTTCTCTGGACTCCCCTGGCTGCCCGGTCACCTTCCCCCAGGGGTGAGGCCAGAGATGAGAGAGACACCAGGGCTCTCCTCTCTGGTTGGCAGCTGGAAGATTAGAAAGGAAGCGGCGCCCACGCACAGCCTTCGTCCACTCAGGTGTGACTGGAAGGTGTGGGCAGGCCCTGCCCTGGCCAAAGTTATGGCAACATCAAACCCTTTTCCTATCCAGGATCTTCCAGCCAGCAAATGCTTTTTGCATGTACTGATTATTTTATCTTCATAACAACACCAGGGGGTGGCTAAAGAGTTATCATTCATCTCCATTTTGCAGACAAGCAAACTGAGTCTCAGAGTGATGGGGAAAACTTACTCATAGACACAGCTGGTGAACGGCAGACCCGGAACAAGCCCGAGCTTGCTGGCAATGCTGCTGCCCGGAATTGAAGTCTGATACCCACAGTTGGGTTAATATTGCTTCTTCATGTACAACTGCAGGTGCCCCTAGTAGGGGTAAACCTGGAGCCATTCACATCTTAGTATGAATTAGCCGATCCCATTGAACACTTTTTCTCTACTCTTCCAGAGAAGGAGAAGGTTAGGGCTTTTGGGCATGAGGAGAAAACACTTTCCAAGAGTCACAAAGCAAAGACAACACTTCCACAAATTCCACTGACTTTCTATCTTTTCCCAAGGCTGGACCCTTCAACTCGCCTGTCCATCAAAGCTGTAGGAACCGTCTGCTTTGTGAACCACATGGAGGATGCCAAAGTCAGCTTGAAAAACCCTTTGTCTTTGAACCTCTTGAAATCTGTCCTGAAAGACAGAGACAAAAGTGGGTAAATGGCAATGCAAGTTGGTAACCGCTCACATGGAGATGTGATCTAAGGAAGGGCAACTGGCCACTGGCGGGTGTCTGGACGGGCAACACTGCCCTCACTCCAGGACACACCCCTCGTCATCCGTTTTCCATCCAATTTTCGTCCCAATGCCTCGTGAGCCTTCCAGCCAGAAAGTCCTCTTTGTTACCTCTCGTACATCCCTCTTGCCCAGCAGTGCCCAGGACACCTGGCCACACCCAGTGATGCCACCATGTAACCTCAGCAACTAGGTGAGGAGCCGTGGGGCCTTCATGGAGTCTCCGGCCAATGCTTCCATTATACAGATGAGGAACCTGAGGCCCAGAAAGGGGAGATGACTTGCCCAAGGCCACCACAGTGAGATGGTGCTGTAGGAGATGCCCCTACCACGACAACCAGACCTGGAGGCGGGCAGGGCATGACTGAGGGACCCTTGTGGTCTGTGCACGTGGTTAAAGAAGGAAGGTAAAGGGTGTGCAGGGAGGCAGAGAGGTCAGGACCCCTCCCTGAGGAGAGAAAGCTCTGCAGCCAGGGAGGAGAGAGAGGGTGGTGAGGGAAGCAGCTGTCAGGGTGAGGGAACAGGCTCAGATGGAGACGGGGCAGAAAGCCCACCCCAAGGCTCAGCGTCACCATTCACAGTCAGTCTTACTGGACCCTTACAAGCCAGGGCTATTTAAAATTAAATTTAAATTAGTCAAAATTGTCTCTGATATTTAACAATATTTTTCTGATATATCTGCTTGGGCTAGGGAAACAAATGAAAAAATAAATGGGACTACATCAAACTAAAAACTTTTTGCACAGCAAAGGAAACCATCGACAAAATAAAAAATAGCTCTGACTGGTGTGGCTCAGTGTTTTGGGCATCGTCCTGCAGAATGAAGGGTTGGCGGTTTGATTCCTGGTCAGGGCACTTGCCTGGGTTGTGGGCCAGGTCCCCACGTGGGGGCGTGCGAGAGGCAACCGATGGATGTTTGTTGCATGTCCATGTTTCTCTCCCTCTATTTCTCCCTCCCTTCTCCTCGCTCTAAAAATAAGTAAAAAGATAACCTACTGAGTGGAAGAAGGTATTTGCCAATGGTATATCCAATAAGGGGTTAATGTCCAAAATATATAAGGCACTCATACAACTAAACACCAAACAACCCAATTAAAAAAAATAAAAGGGCAGAGGATTTGAATAAACATTTCTCCAAAGAAGACATACAGATGGACAACAGACATATTAGAAAATGCTCAACTTCACTAATCATCAGAGAAATGCAAATTGAAATCACAATAAGATATTACCTCACACCTGTAAGAATGACCATCATCAATAAATCAACAAACAACAAGTGCTGGAGAGGATGTGGAGAAAGGGGAAACTTCGTGCACTGTTGGTGGGACTGCAGACTGGCGCAGCCACTGTGGGAAACAGTGTGAGTTTCCTCAGAAAAAGTAAAGATGGATCTGCCTTATGACCCAGTGATTCCACTTCTGAGCATATATTCACAGTGATCCGAAACACTAATTTGAAAGAATATATGTTCATTGCAGCATTATGTACAATAGTCAAGATATGGAAGCAACCCAAGTGCCCATCAATAAATAAGCAGATAAAAAAGTTATGCTACATATACACAATGGAATATTATTCATCCATAAAAAGAATGAAATCTTACATTTAAAACAGCATAGATGGACCTAAAGGGTATTAAGCAAAGTGAAATAAGTCAGCCAGAAAAAGGCAAATGCCATATGGTTTCACTTATATATGAAATTTAAAGAACAAAATAAACCAAAAAATTGAAGCCGACGCATAGACACAGAGAACAGACTGATGGTTGCCAGAGCAGGAGAGGGTTGAGGGCTGGGTGACAAAGGAGACAGGACTGAGCAGGGCTAACTGGCTGGTGCAGAGCAGCCGCGGGGGTGTGAAGCCCAGCACAGGGAGCACGGGCAGTGACAGTGTGAAAACTGCGTGTGGGGCCAGGTGGGCTCCGGAGAGATCGGGGACCGCTTTGTAGAGCGTGTGGTTGTCTAACCACTATGCTGTACGCCTGAAATTCAGAGTATTATTTAATGTAAACTGTGATTGATAAATGAATAAGTTAGTCAAAATTACATAAAGTTAACCTTTTGTTTCCTCGGCTGAGGCAGCCACACTCCCTGTGCTCAGCGGCCGCGGGGGCAGCACAGATAAAGCGCTTTCCATCAGGCAGGAGGCTCTGTTTGGACGGTGCGGCTCAAGACCTGTTACATGTGTAATCTCTTTTAAAAATAGTGTTTCTGAGTGTCATTAATACGTGTTGCAGAAAATGTAAGATGGGAACTCAAATCACAGGTGGTTCCTCCCCCCGTTTCAGCATTTGACATATGTCCTTTCAGTCATTCTCCTCCTCTTCCTCCTTTTTAGAGAGAGAGAGGAAGGAAGAGCGAGAAACATTGATGAGAAAGAGAAGCATCGACTGGTTGTCTCCCATGTGTGCCTAAATGGGGGAGCGAACCTGCAAACTTTAGGTTATGGGTCGACACTCCAACCAACTGAGCCCCACAGACCAGGGCCATTATTCTTTAAAAAAAAAAAATCCGGATAGCGCACAATCACTGTGAGAAATGCAGGCAGGCAATATAGTGGTGCAGAGAGTGAAGGTGCTACCCAAATGCCCCCCAGAGGACAGCGCCATCAGCAGGGGCGCAGGTACTTGCCCCTAGTCTGCATCACCCTCAGTCAAGGGGCCACTTTGACCACAGGACCTCCCTTGCACTATCTGTGCCCCCATCTGCCTTCGAGGCTTCCAGTCCCTCTCCTGCCACTAACCCAGAGTGCCCCTGGACAGCTGACAGTCCTCTGGGTGGGTCCCAGGACTCAGCCGCCCTCCCAGTGGCCTCTGCTTTGCACCCTCATGAGCACCCTCTGCCCTCGAAGCCCCCCCCCGCCACCCACCCAGCCCTGCTCCCTCCTCCACATCAGGCCCGGGGAAGGCACACCTGTACTTTCATCTCACCCGCCCCATCGTGTCTCCCAGCCGTCCTCCTCGGGGGCAGCAGCCGAAGAGCAGGGTGGTCCAGGGCAGGGGTCTTGAATCAGACACTCACAGGTAGCTACCCTCTCTAGGTCTCCTTTTTCTCATCTGAAGGACGGAGATAATATCTAACTCAGAGTGTTGCTGTGAGAATTAAATGAGATGGTAGATGTGAAACGTTTTGCATGCCGAGATAGTTATTATTGTCATTTTACAGATGAGAAAATTGAGGCTCAGCAAGCTCTAGGTACCTCTCAGGGCCCCACTGGCAGGAGGTGGCAGGAACCAGGGCTCTAACCCGTGTCTGTCGGGCTCCAAAGCCCGTGCCGCTGCCCCCACAGAGCGACCCCTTTCCCAACCTTGCCCCCAAGCTCTGGGACACCTTCCTTCAGGTCCACGGGGAAAGGAGGAAGCAAGGAAGGCAGCAGCAGAACTGAACGTGGGCCCCAAACCGCAGCCTTGTCCCCAGCCATGGGCCCGCCCTCCCATCCTCCCACCGCAGATTGCGCCCCCTGATGCACACGTCTTGCTCAGCGAACCTCAGTTCCCTCACATGTTCAAACCTAGCAGCCTCAGCTTCTGGGAGCTGCAGCCCAAAGAGGCATCAGGAACCCAGACTTGGGCTTGATGGGAGGTCTGAGGGTGACTCCGTCCCTCAGACCAGACCAGACCAGACCTGGGTGAGGGGCAGGAGAGGCATCTTCGGGCACTGACCCCCAGTTACCCTCACTCTCCCCAGGCTCCCTGGGGCCCTGAGGTAGGGTGGGGTGCTCAACAGGCCTGCTAGGTAAGAACAGGTCTGCAAGGAGGTTTAGGAAGGGTGTGGTGAGGAGGGCGTGCCGCTCAGACTCAGGTGTGATCACTACGGGGGGCACGCCTGCCAGCTTCCTCTGCCGTGCCAGACAGGGCAGGGCAGCTGCCCCCATGGGCTGGGCCTCTGGGCTCTTAGCAAGGAGTGAGTGGTGCTGGATCTCCTGGCCCTCACCACCCACCCAATGCCAGCTCACCATCCCTGCCTTGCTGGGTGGTGGACAGGCAGGGCCAGGGAGCCAAACCCCAGTGGCCCTAGAGCTGCGAGAACAGGAGTGTGGAACCTGTCCACACAGGCCCAGCTGGCCAGACGCCTTGCCTCCCTCAGCTGCCCTCCCCCAGAGGGAGCAGGAGCAGACAATGGCCACAGGTGACTCACCGATGAGCCATCTTCTCATCCCACCCCCTCTGGCCAGCCCAGGGCCGCCCAGCTTGTCTCCCAAGGGGGCTGGAGACCAGCCCTACTTGCCACCAGCTTCTTCTCTCTGTACCTCGCCTTGCTCTCTCACTTTGTGCAGCACAGCAGAGTTCCTGGGGGTAGGGGGGGTGAGTGGGGGGGAGTTTTTGCAGCAGATCCAGGCAGTCAGAGCGGACACCTTCGTGAAAGCAGACAGAGGCCCCAGAGGCTCCAGCCCAGCCCACAGTGCCCTGCCCTCTCCTCCCCTCTGCAAGCAATACCCACTCTCCCTGAGCCCCAGGGAAGTAGTCAGTGACCATTGTCATTTCTTCATCTCCTTCCACGGCAGAACTCAGACCCTACCCCAAATTTATTTCCTTCTGAAAGACCAAATATGTGGGCCCTGGGCAGTCCCAGTCCATCTACTCCACGTGGGACAGAGCGCACTGCAGGAGAAAATCTACGGCGGGGGGTGAGGGCGGGGGGTGGTGACGGGGTGGAGGGATCAAACAAAAAGGAAAAAAGACTCATGGACACGGGCAACAGTGTGGCGATCGCTGGTGGGCAGGGCATAAGGGGGATAAATGGTAATGGGACAAATATAGTTAAAAAGAGTATTTCCTTTTGCTGGGTCTGCCTCTCTGTAGAGTCCGCATTCAGCACCTCAAGAGTCGAATGTCCACTCCCAGTCCCCATCTGCTCTACAGTTCTCTGCTCTGAGCCGAATCAGTTTTTCCGGTCGTTCCTCCTGAGACTGGTTTCAAGACCTTTTTTAGACAGCTGGCCTGTGTCCTCCGGAAACATTTCCATTTATCCACGTTTTCCCGGTAACATGGTGTCTAGAAGGGGCGTGACATGCCAACCAAGGCCAGGCCAGTGTGGAGAGTGATACCCAGACGTCACGCCAGCGACCTGGGCTCGGTGCGCTGAGCCCCGCTGCCTCGCTGCCTGCACACTCGGGTTTCTGGGCCAGTGAGCCCGTCCCCGGTGGGTTTGGACCCAGGGGCTGTTTCACCATGTCCGTGGTGAACAGGTGCGCACAGGTCGCCCCCACCTGTGTCACTGCTGCCTCTAAGGACTTGCAGTCCCCTCCTTCTGCCTCCTGGGGGTTTTCTGGCAGATGACTCCCCATGGAGGGAACCCCAACGATCAGGCAGTGCCTCTTAACAGGTTTTCACCTGTGGATTCTCTTCAGGGTCTGACGGAAGACTTCACCCTCTTCCCAGAAAAACGCACTGGCTCAAGGTCCTGCAAATGACACCAGGACTTCCTGCAGACCGTCCTGGACCCCAGGTTAGGGGTTCCCATCTAGAAGCTGATGCCTGAAAAGCAGACTCTGTGACAGCCTCCTGTCCAAACTCTCAGGCCCAGAGCAAATTCAAAGAAACAGCCTATCAGACCAGTGTTGTGCTCAACAGCTTGTGAAGCACGTTCACATACCTCACCTCAGACAGCCCTAGGACACAGGTTATAATTGAGCAAATGAGATGTCAAGGTTCAGAGAGGTGCAGTGACTTGCCCAAGGTCACACAGCCAGTCTGTCCAGACTCTTCAACCCATATGGGGCCTCAAAGAAGCCCAGCACAGTGGGGAAGGCACAACAATGAGTCAGCTCCACGAGGCTGCTGGGGACACTGGCCCAGACTGCCCAGCGGGCTCCTGCTGCTGCTGCACAGAAGTGCGACCAGCCTGGCCTGGTGGTGAGCTGTGGTTCTGGCAGCCTCCTTGGCAAAGGCAGACAAGGGCCAGGTTGGCAGGCTACAGCTTGTGGGAAGGGAAGGACAAGGGCAGAAAACAGGTCTGGAGCCCGAACCTCAGGAACCTAGGGGACAGAGAAAGAGCCTCTGAGCCCCATCTCCTCCAAGAGCACAGACACCCACTTGGCAGGAGCACACACCCGGGAGAGTAAATGGAGCGGGGGCTGTGGTGGGTGGAAGTCAGGACAGAGAGCATATCTGAGTGTGTGGGGTTTACATACAGGCTCCAGAACTGACTACTCAGTGTTTAAGTTTCCAAAAAATTCTTGTGCCCTAAAAACCCCTCTACTTGACCCAGAAAACTTCTCAGCCTGCAAGGGCCAGCTCACCGTCCCGCCTACCCCGCCCCACCCCAAGAAGCTTCCCCCAGGGCCCTCTGGCCCAGGACCTTGCTCCTTTCCCAGGGTCTGGGCTCAGACCCCACTCAGACCCTGTCTGGCCCTTATCTGACCTCTCTGTGCCCCTAGCAGACTGCAGCTCAGACTCAATATCTCACCCCAGCCGCTGGCAGGAAGGGTTCCATCCATGCCTGTTCCATAGGCTCCAGGCACTAGGAATGGTGTACTGTCTTTTGCTTCCACTTGTTTTGTGACTCCAAGCTGGGTCCAAAACCAGGGTCAAGGACAGCCAGCCCCACTCAATACCCCTGTCCCTTAACTGGAAGTCTATAATGGCCTTTGAAACCCTCTGAAGAAGAATCTAAAAGCTTTTTCCAGGCTCCAAAAGGTGAGGGAAAAGGTTCAGGAAATTGTCATTTCTGTCCCAACTGGATTATTTCCTTTTGCTCCAAACAGTTGACTGAAATGGGCAGAGGAGGGGTCCAGAGCTGGGAGCGTGGGTCTGCAAACAGCTGGATTATTCTCCGTCTTCCATGAGTTTACATCTTGGGCCAGGACTGGGGAGCTGCTGAGGGCAGGGCTCAGCTTTGCCCTGTGTGCTGATGCTCGGGCTCTCAGTGATTTACTCGTATCACAATAAACTCATGCATTCTTACTGATTTTGTGCAACTGTCTCCTCCACTGGACTTCCAGGCTCCGGGGGGCAGGAGCCACATTTTATTCAATCCAGGATCTCCAGGGCCTAGTATGTTGCCAACTAGAGTCAATGCTCCATGCATGTTGGAAAAAAACATGCCTTGCAGCCTCCCTGCTACTCTTACTTCTGAGGCACCCCTGCTTCTCTGCATGGAAAGAGCTTCTTTGAGCCCCCCATGCTGATGCTAGGAGCTGCTGCCCTCCACCTCTGGGTTGCTGCCGAGGCCACTTCTTGGTCACTGCTTGTTTCCAGCCTCACATGTGCTTTTCTGACCACGCCCCGCCCCCAGCGGTAGCTATGCACAGCCTACCCAAACATCAACGCGCTCGCGCTCTGCTGCCCAGCCTCCTGACAGACCTCACCCCCTGCAACCACAGCTATTTTTAGCAGAATCTCATGCTTTTGACATCCTCTCCTGCTCCCACCCACCCTTCACCCACCAGTGTCACTTCCCCCTTTTGATAACAATAACATTGAGGTTGATATGTTTCCCTTGCCTCCTCTTTTGCTCATCCCGGTTGTCTGGCATGCCGGCTGTCTGGATTTCTTGGAGGGTGGGTGACTCCCGCTTGGGCCTAGCTCAGGGAAGAGGTTTGCTCCCCCAGGCTGGACCCTGGAGCCCTAAGCATTTAGAGGCCTGCTCTGGAGGGCCCCAGACACACTCGCTTTTCTTCTTTCTTTCTTCTTCTTCTTCTTTTTTTTTTTTAAGATTTTATTTCTTTATTTTTAGAGAGGGGAAGGGAGAGAGAGAGGGAGAGAAACACCAATCTGTGGTTACCTCTCATGCATCTCTTACTGGGGACCTGGCTTGCAACCCAGGCATGTGCCCATGTGCCCTAGACTGGGAATTGAACCTGCCACCCTTTGGTTTGCTGGTCAACACTCAATCCACTGAGCCACAGCAGCCAGGGCCACACATAATGGAGAATTCTTCACCCTTCCCTAGGTCAGAATCCCAGTATCTTCTCAGTCTCACCCAAACCTTTCCTGTCCTCAGGGTTGCCAAATGTAGCAAATGAAAATTCAGAACACCCATTTAAATGTGACTTTCAGGTAAACAACATTGGTTTAGTTCAGCATGTCCCAGGCAATACCACACTAAAAAAGTATTTGGTGTTTGTCTGAAGTCCACATTTCAGTGGGCATCCTGTGTTTTATCTGGCAGCCCCGCCTGCTGAGTTTCCTCCGCCAGAGCAACGGCTGCCAGATGTCTGGGCCTCAGGATCCCTGGACTCTCAAAGATGACTGCGCACACTCGAAGGGTTTCTGTGTGGGCGAGCTGACGTTCATCGCGTTAGAAATTAAAACAGAAGTTTAAAAAATACTATTAATTTATTTTAAAATAACAGTTTAAAAGCAACTAATAACTCATTACATGTTTGTACAAACTATAT